ATAACCAGTTTCTCATGGACTTTTCTCATGTTATTGCTAAGCTATTCACTTCCACAAAAGGCATTTATTTGCTCTGCTTTAGGGCTCAGCTAGACTTTTTTTTTTCCCCCTGTTTCTAGATGTACATGAATTTTAAGACTCTGTCATATGTATGTGTTCCTTACATATATCATATTGTAAGGAACTTTGGCATTTAAAACTGCCCAAGAGAGAGGCAGGTGGTTCCCCAAAAGTTAGCAATAACAAGTGTTATGCTATGACTATTGTTTGCTCTGTATAAAGCTCCAGGTGTGTTACTAACTGCCACAGAACAAGCTGACCCACATCGTATATATCTGCTTAATTGGCTTAGACTCTTCTCAATAGTGTTGAACTTGTTACAAAAACAAGATTTGTGGCTTGTAATGTGAACAGTGGCTGCTCATGTCACATGACTAAACACATCATTCAGCCACAAAATAAACCACACCCTGCAAGACCATACTTTCACTGTTGGGACATAAAACTATTCCACTGATTGAAGTAAGTTGTCACTGTCACAGAAAAATGTGACTGTTTTGCGTTAAGTCAAGTGGCTTCATGTTTCCTTTCTTTGAGTTCCACCTGCTGTGTTTCATTTCTAATCTCCCCTATTGGAGGCACTCCAGACCTCACCAGTCTTGGACTTCAGCTTTGTGTTGTATGCAACACTTAAAACTTCATTATTTCATGTGATTTCCACACCAAGTTACACAGGCTTCTCCTAGAACAGCTCAAAATCAAGAATAAAATGACAGGAAATCCCATGGCCCTCATCTGTGGGAACAGAGGAGGTGTCCATCCTTTCAGCTGAGGAAAGCCAAAAGGCTCTTGCTGCAGAACCACTGGTTTGGATGGCCACACCTCGTTGTTGCCTCTGCTTCAGAGCTGTCAAGCAGCCATTGTCAACAGTTTAGTGGCAGTTCTGAGTGACTCATACACCATTTAAAAAAAAAAAAAAAAAAAAATTGATGTCACAGGGCCTACTTCTCTTTTATACCAAAAAGCAGAATGGAGTACATCTGTAATTTAAGTCTAAGGAAGAACATTGTGACCTGATGATAAAGTCAGTAAGAGGAAGCCCTACCAGCATGCCCCAGTTTGGTAATGCCAGAGTTTTGCTGATGGTGAGAGATTCACATGATTCCATCCTTAAATCAGGCTGGATTTTAACTATTTATGGTCCTGTACTTTATAATATGCTAGTTTATGCTTAGTAGTAGTTGCAAACAGGTTGATCTTGGACTACAGGTAATCCTAGACCTAGCAAAAGTTTCAGGCTACATAAAAGGAGCAATTAAGTCTCTTTATGGAGACAACAGAAGCAACTGCCCAAGGCATTTAGATGTAGAGTTAGGCTAGAATTAAACCATACACTCCGAGAAGTTTCCATATAACTAAGGTAAAGACGGGACATGGGGACTGTTTCGCAAACTGTGCATCCTGGAAACAGAAGACATCTAGAATATCAGCAGACAGCGAGAAAAACATGTATGAGACTTGTCCTGAAGAGCTAGATGGATAAACCTGTAGTGGAAAAGGAATCACTTGAGAGAAAGACTTTAAAACTATGAGAAAATAAATTGCCAGTGCTTGCCTGTTTCTAGTCTCATCTGGAAAACAAGGATGTGCTTGCACTTTTATAACTAATTGTCTTGCATCAGGTCTGATTTGTGTAGTAAATTGCTCCCACCAAGACAGTCAAGGCTTCAAACGCTACAGAATTCCTCTGTAGCAATAAACCAGATTATGTCAATAATTTAAAAGTATTATAACATTTTTTTCTCACACAGGTATCTCAGATGAATTCATAACTCCCATGTTTAATTTTTACAAAAGTATTGGAGAGCTGAAGATGACACAGGAAGAATATGCACTACTCACAGCCATAGTTATCCTGTCTCCAGGTAACTTCTCATCCAGAATTAGTGGTTTTGGAAAGAAAGCATGAGGAGTGTGACCTAAGACTTGTAAAAACTTACATTCTACTAGAGTAAGTGAGCATACACGCATATTCAGTATATTCAGTTGTTAAACCAAAAAACAAGCACACAGATCCAAACTCCAAATGTCCTGCTATACCATTTGGTTTTGCATACAGGGGAAAAAAGTGCCTAAATAATACCCCGCTTAAAAACATTACTGGATCTCTTCACTGATTAGTATAACAGGCTTCTTCCTTCAGAAAATCCCAGAGGTGGTTACATGCACATCACTACAAACCATTGTGGAATGTCACATTTTTTAGAGGGAAATTAGGAAACAGTGTAACTTAGAATAGAGAATGGAAATGAAGGTCTTCAGGCTTATTGAACAAGTACTAGTTGGCAAGAGCATAAGGATGGTAGCAAGTTGCCTTCTCAAATATAAAGTGTTGGAAACTGACCTTTCAGAAGTATCGGCACAATAGCATCTCAGCCCTGATTTCAGGCTTTGCTGTAAAAACTATTCAACAACACAAAACTAACCACCTCTGCCTATAAAATATGGAGAAATTGTATAGTGCCTCAAACAAACTGACTATCATAGGAATGGGAGAGGCCTGATGCTTCAGAACAAAAGACAAATACTGAGGTTTCCAAATTAGGTTTCATGAAAGACGGGAAGGTGAAGAAATTCCATCACTCTTTGAGTCAGTGTGGCTCAGGAAATTTTTTTACACTGAAAATTTCAGTGACAAAAAAAAACATCCTCCTCTTTTCCTCACTCTCCAAATACCCCAACACATATTTCCATATGAACAAGATAAAAAGACAAATATTTTCTAACAAAGAAATCTAATCTGAGGATGAAGATATTTATCCCTGGTGACCTGCACGTACACTCTTCTCCACTGGGCAAATTCGCCAGTTGTATTCCACCTCCAAGAACTTACACCGTGTTGCTCAGTTGTTGCAATGCATCACAGGATGTACCCAGGTGCAGAACTGCATTGGGAGATGATGATACAACCCTAGAGAAACATTTACGAGTTAAAATTCTTCCGTTTTTGAAAAAGTTGAAAGTTTTCCCTAGCTGGAAGTGGTAAGCTTACATGACAACTCCAAACCAAAAATACAATGTTAAGCATTTCTATTACCTCTTAATTTGAAAATATATTTTCTTGGTAGGTGTGAACATCAGTGTCTGGTGTAAATATTTGAATATTTTTATGTTCAGTTATTGGTGTAAATAATTGCATTTGTATCAGAGCATGCATCTGCTAATTACTTCTTTTCTTTTAAAACCGTAACCAGATCGACAATACATAAAGGACAGAGAGTCAGTGGAAAGGCTTCAAGAACCCCTGCTAGATATTCTACAGAAATTCTGCAAACTTCACCACCCAGATAACCCTCAACACTTTGCATGTCTTTTGGGTCGTCTTACAGAGTTACGGACATTTAACCATCATCATGCAGAGATGCTGATGTCATGGAGAGTGAATGATCACAAATTCACACCTCTTCTCTGTGAGATCTGGGATGTGCAGTGATGGATACTTTTTATTTTATTTTAGGAGAAATATATTTTTAAAGGACCACATAGCAGTTATTTTCATAGAAAAACAACCCACAGTACATTAACTTTTCTTTACTGCATTTTTATAGAAACACGCCACAGATTCATAAAAGTAATTTTGTTCACTACACACAGAATATGGTATAGCTATCAGATTTTCACACATATTACTTTCTTTGTATTTATATTCTCGATCAGAAAAAGTCCACCATCTCCTCAGAGGAACCATGTTAATTCCTGCTGCAGTTAAGCTGGTTGCAGTTACAGTTCCTCTTGACAAATGGGGAAATGCAGGTTTCCATTCATAGTTTTTCATTGCAGTGGTTTTGTGTTTGGCTTCTGTTAAAGAATATAGTTCAGATATTTATGGTACTAAACCAGCTGAAATGGTTAATGCCACAGTCATCTGCTGTTCTGCTGTGAAATGTGTTCGCATATGATGTGCAAGATGTTATTTCTTCAGAAGATGAAAAATTATGGAGAAAAGCCACACACACAAAAAAACTCTTTATATAAACATGTAACTTCATTTGTATTATTATTTGAAAGTAAAAATTATACAGTATCTATACTTTGTGAGAGTGCGTCGCAGGTTATTTTGCCTTACATCTTTGACTGTGGGTGCTTAGTGGGTCTGAAAAATACCTTCAGCAACATCCCCAAAACAGGAAAGTGTGTATGGAAGTTGTCCGAGGGGCATCCCTGATGCCAACAGGGCCTGCAGGCTGGGTGGGTGGTTTCTGTGTGCTGCGGTCTGATCCCAGCAACATGAAACCAGGCGGCTGGGACCCTGATGTGCCAACCACGTCGCCATCCAGACCGTGTCCCCACGCTGCTGGCAGAGACACCTGCTCACTCCGCTGCTAAAAGGTCTCTTCGGGCAAAAGCTCCTCCGTGGGCAGGCGCTTCCCCTGACCGCCATGCACCCAGCACCCACCACGCGTGACCAAACCCACCACCGCCGCCCCAGGGAAGCGCAACTGCTCCCAAACGCTGTGGGTGACAGGGGATGGAGGGGACAGTTGAGGCTCGTGGTTTCCTGGCAGACCAAGCGGCCCGGGGGGCCATCTCCCGCAGCGCCCGAGCGGGTGGGACACCGAGGCCTGGCCTGGCCTGGGGAGGGCTAGCTGTTAGCGGGCCGTCACCCCGCGCCCTGCACCGCCTCAAAAGCCGCGTCCCTAGGGGAGGCCGGAGCGGCGGCTGCGCTACGCAGCGCCTTCACCCAAATCGGCGGGGGCTCTGGCGGAGACGCCCGAGCTGCCCCCGAATAAACCGGGGGGGGCCGCGACGGAGCCGCCTCGGGGCCTGAGGGCCGGGCGGTGCCGCGGCCCCGGGCCAGGTGCGGCGGGCCTCGCCCCGCCCCCGCCCCGCCCGGCGGCCGCTGATTGGCCGTTTCGAACGGAGCGGCCGGCGCGGCGCGCGGGGCGGGGGGGGGGGGCCGTTCTGGTGCGGGGCCCGGCGGTGGCGGCTGCTGGTGAGGAGCGCGGGGCCCGGGGCCCGGCCCGGTGCCGGGGAGCAGCGGGAGGGGCGGGCGGTGGCAGCGGGTGCGAGGCTCCCTCCGCCCTGCGGTGTGGTGGCGGTCGTGGCGGCGGTACCACCGCGGAGCCGGCTCCGCGAGGAAGGTGAGGGGCGGCGGGACCGGCCGCGCGTGGGGAGCGGGGCGCCGCTGCGCGTCGGTGCCCGCGGGGCGCCGCTGCGCGTCGGTGCCCGCGGGGCGCGGAGCTGCTCGGTCGGTTGTCTGTAAGGGCAGCGCTGGCCGCGGGTTGAGCGTCGCACGCCGGGGGGAAGCCGGTGCAGCGGGGGCAGGCCCCAGGGCTGGGCTAAGCCTGGGCTGGGCTGGGCTCGGTCAGGCTTCCAGGGGCAGCAGGTCCCATCCGGCCGAGTTAGCCTCCTCGGCACGGGTGCTGGAAGTGAATTGCCACGAAACTTACCTTGGGGAAGGGAGAGGGGAGAGTTTTTTGCGTAACAGCCTTTAAACCAGTCTCTCCTGTACCTCACGCAAGCGTGTGGGGATGCGGTGCTGTTTTTGTAGGAAATTTGCCCTGGTGCTCTTGGCTAAAATACTCATTCATATTGCTTAGTAAGCTGAGAAATGTCTGGCTCCTTTCTTTGCCTGAAAGCTGGCTGTATTCCAGGGATGCTGTGTGTCACCTTTGGCACAGTATCAGATCAAGACATGGGAAAATGTACATGTATACCTTTTGGACCTATAAGGCATAGCTGGCCTATGCATTTGTAATTCTAAATCCACTGGGTGGATCTTTCATAAGAAGACAGGATTTTATATTTAAGTCCTAATAAATTCTTCCTGACAGCCAGCAGCCTGTTGCCTGAGCATCAAAGCGATGCTCCCCTCAGCATTGCTTTGCTGGAAAAAACGTGTGCAGGAAAAAGGAGGGGGATAAGAGTTTGTTTGTGGAACGTGAGCAAGTGGCAGGGGTAGCGTGTCTTGTGTTAACCAGCCTCTCCCCAAACTGGATGCTCCTGTGGTAAAGGAGCCGTCTGCATGTCTCCTGCGGAGATGAAGTGCTCCTCCCTCATTTCAAGTGGGTTTCCCTGCCCTGACAGGTGAATCCAGGGCCTTTGCCACGCTTTGGAAGGGGACAGCAGGCTTGATGCTGTGTTGTTATGTGTGCTGTCGTGGAGAGGTGTGTGGAAAAGCAGTCCCCGTGGAGAGCAGTGTAAGGAGTTGGTTGCCACCTTAAAGCCCATCACCTTGGACTGACTAGTCTGGTTCTTTCGCTTTCTTGCCTCTAAGGCCTCCCCAGGGAAGCAGGGCTCCTGCTGATTCAGTAGTGCAACAAAAGGCCTCTGTAATTCCTGTAGTGACAGAGAGAGTAGCGCTCTGCTCTGTGGATGCCTCTTGTTGTGCCTACCTCTTCTGCGTGTTAGGATATGTGTAGCAAAAAAAATCTTGGCTATCCTGTAGTAGGTTTCAACAGATACTTACTTGACAGCTTCTTTCATTTCAGAATGTTTAAAAAGGTGGGTTTGGGTAGCTACTGTCAAGACTAATCTACAGTTTCCAGCTGCTCTGGGTTAGTCTGTTGTGACTGCCTTTGGGTGTTGATGGAATAGAAAATGATGTATTATATATATTAAATATAGGGTAAAGATGTAAAAATGTTTTTACCCAAGGTTTTTTTGTTTTTTTTTTTAATGTGTCTGTGAACACATGGCTTTTTAATGAGGTCCACTTAAGCTAGGTCAATGGCTGCTTCATCTATGGTTTAGGTATATTTGGAGTTGTGGATTTTTTTTGTTTGTTTCTTTGTAAACTCTGCAGTCAGGTAAAATGGGACTTGGACTCAGTTCATCTTGTGCTTCAGAATGGCTTGTAATTAGTGTAGCATGTCTTGCTGGTTGGGCCCCAATGGTTGATCTGTAAAACCTGATACAGCTGATACCAAGCAGGGTATCTTGTGTAGCATCTAAGAGCATGTGTTCATCCTGACGTATTTGCGTAAAGTGCTTTAGTATTTGCTGACTTTGGTGTTTCTCAGATTCCCTGGGGGCAAAGTGGCAGGCATCTCTCTGGAGAGCAGAGGCAGACTATGGTCTTGTGAGCTGTCCTGCGCAGGTCATGTCCAGGGTATGTCTGCACACCCCTTTTCTGAGAAATGCCTGTCCCTATGCCATGTGTCACTAGATAGGTACATTTTTCTCACCTCTCTTTCCTAATGTCGATCCATAGCTCTAGTCCTTTATTGGAGGTTTGACAGTTGGTCAGCTGAAGGCAGCTGCTGCCTTCTCCAATGTATCATTTGGGGCTGACCACCCGTCAGTAAATCAGTGTCGTTATATTGATCCAACCATAAGGTGCTGCTAGACAGCATTTCTCCTCTTGTCCCACTCCATGGAACCTGTTGGCAGCAGAAGTGCTGGCAGAAATGAGGTGTTTTTCAAGAGTGGTGCTAGTGGTGGGGGACCCCTGTGCTGAGCTTGGAGCTGGGCTGGTTGCCCCCCTGGTTGGGAAGTACTTGCAAGTTTCTGGTGCTTCCCCTGTTTTAAGGGATGAAGCAAGTAGAGAGCCCTTGTTAGGAACCCTAAGGATATCAGCTGGCCTGGAAATGGGAATGGCATGGCCTGAGGCTATGTGTGGGATGTGATACAGCGTGTTTTCATTCTGGGGTCTTTTCTTTCACAACTGTGATCACTGAATACCAAATGTCTGTAGAATGAAGGTGAGTTGATAAAACTGGCATGCATAGAAAGTGATACAGTTCTAGCTGGAGCTGCCTGAATTCAATATCAAGTACTTGCTTCATTCATTATGTACAGCTTTTTGATGCAGGGAACCCAACAGGTTTTAGAAGAAGTCAGATTTGGTTATGACTCTATCTGGTACTGCAGCATTTGCCTCACCACAGCACCTTCTGTACCTTTGCAGGCTGACTACTTGAAGGTGGCAGACTTCTGGGTCTTCTCATCCCATGTTTCTCCTTGTAAGTGATAAGGCTACCTTAATCTGTATTTCCTGCAATTTCAGAGCTGGACTGTTTGGGATCTGAAAATGGGTAATTGCTACTATGATAATTTTTTAACTCAGAATTCGTGCAGGATAGTCTGTATCATCAGAGGGTTTTTTGTTAAGTGCTATCCATATGCTCTGATAATAAGTGAAGCGGTTTGACTTTCTGGAGAGCCCTTTGGCATATGGGCTTACAAAACAACTTGCTTCAGAAGAGCAGGCTCTTGAAGTTCAAGTGCCACAAGTTTTGTCAATCTCCTCTTTATATAATTTTTTTTAGACTAGTTTTTGTTAGGCATGCCACAAAACTGCAGATGCTGAGCATTCTTGTGATATCTGTTGTGTGAATATTTTGCTTTGTTCGTGTTTTGAGTGCTCCCTGTGAATTAGGCCGCCTTTTGTTTTCCCTTGGCAGTTAGTATGCTAGAGCTCTTGTTAGCCTATATGGAGCTCCTTATTTTAATGAGACCAACTTCTTTACTGACTGTTCTGCTGTTGTTTTATTTATTTTTTTAATCAATGAATCCTCTTACAGTGGCTCTCTTGGGACAATAGCTTTCTTATACTCAAGAAAAATGTATTCTCCTGGACAAAGCTGTGGGAAGCATAATGTGCTCATTAGTAATGCTTGGTATATATGCTGCCCTTTCCTTGTTCATTCATAGAAGGAAAAAATGACATCAAGGAGAGGAGGTCTCTTTCTTTGTGCCCCCCCCCCCCCTTTTTTTTCCTGCTAGAAATAAAAGGAGGGAGCGAGATATCACTTGTATTATCTTGGATAAAGTTTGAGAAGTGCTAGCAGTCCTGGTACAAGCGAGTGGTTTCAGTCCGAAAACGAACTGGTTGCTCGTTTGCTGGTTATTGTAAGTTATTTGAAATGCCTGACGTGTGGTCCTATGTAGCGTGGGAGGGAAAAATGGGGAAGAAACAGGACCATTCTGATTTCTGGGTAGGAGGGAGGGGGAGAATTTTTACAAGAATTGGATGGTCTTTGATGGGCTATTTGTTCTTTTTTCGTAGGAAGGCCAGGTTGTGCAACATATGGAGGAGGAGAGGAGAATGCTATCTATGTATAAAGCTTAAACATCTGGGACAGGAGAGGGAAGTTATTTATTTTTAAAGGAAAACAGATGAGTTAAAACTGTCTGACAATGTCTGCAGTCTGGTTTCCAGCTTAATCAATAAGATGAGGTTTTATTGCAGCTGTTAAGTAATGGAGCAAGAAAGTTGCTTTGAACTGGCTTCAAGACACAAGTACATTTCGAGGTTGTAATGCCCTCCACTACCACTGTGGAGAATTATGCTGAGGAAATTCCTCTGATAAGTGTGTATACAGCTAACCTGGTAATAGTGAGCATGTCTAGACCTGGAGCCTATGTGGAGAGACTTACTGATCCCCAGCCCAGTGTAGAGTTTATGCTGGGTTTTTCCATGGTTGAAAACATTGCTGGAAATATACTGTGCTGGCTTCAGGAGAGAAAGGGTTGACCAGATTGCTTCTAAAACTTTCCTTAAGGATAGTTTTGACAGGGAATTGTCCTGATAACCATACTGCTGTCATAGTTCACAGCACTGTGTTGGAAACATAAGTGTGTGCTAGCTGCCTGGGAAATTGACATCTCAATAGAAGTGAATAAAAACACTGATTTCTCTCATGGATCTATGGAAAAAGAAATCTCATTCTTCAAAATTATTTCCTTGCTTTAAGATTTTCATAATCTTCAAAGTATTTAATGTAAGCTCAGGATGCATATATGTATATGTGTGTGCATGTAAGTATGTACAAGATATACTTGTGATAGCTTAAAAGGAAATGGTGAATGCCAACATTGTTAAATCCAAGAACGGCTGGAAGTATTTATATTTCTCTTTGTCAAAGTAAATGCCTTACAGGACTTATACTCAAAGATTTGCATGATTTTTATTTATGCATGCAAACTTAGTTGCTACTTTGTGCTGTAATAACTGCTGCTTTATTTAAGGGCAGAGAACTGAAGTTGGCTGAATGCTGGATCAAAATCTTAGCTACTAAGATACTTCCTTCTTTACCCCTCTATTCCCAATTAGACTTGTTCTTGTTTTTTTCAAAACAGAACTGTTGGGTTTTTCTTGGGATTTTCATGAAAGCAAGAGGGGCTGTATTAAAAATTCTTTGCTTTTTCCCCAGGGGGAGAAACTAATGTAAATGCAGGTGACAATGCAGAATGCAGTTCAGGTAAATGCCCTTTTTTAATGTTTGAAACCTGTAAAATACTTTAATGAAAAAATCTACCCTGAAGCAGATGAAATGCTAGAATCCCCAGAGTTATCTCTAGGTTGTTTTTTTTGTTTGTTTGTTTTTTTTTTTTTTTGTTTTAAGTAATAGTTTTCCCATTTTACAAATGGATCAATGTGACAAAATAGATAACCTTGTGTTATATCAGATAGGTGATCCTTTCTCTTCCTAGGTGCTATTACCTAGGAAGGTTTTGAAGTCAAAGACTGAGATTATTTAAAAACTTGCTTGATGATTAAGAGGAGTTTTTAAAAACCCGATGTTCTAGTTAATCACTTAAATATAAATAAATGTATTTTATAAACACACACACTTAATGGACTGAAAGAAAGTAGTTAAGAATACCAGAAGGACTCTTTCTCTTTGGGAATTTTGTACGTGAAATTTGTGTGGTCCTTTTTTGAAATGTAAATGTACCTTTCAGTTTGAAAATATGCAATCCTTAAGAGAAATGCTAAGGATTCATGTTCAAGAAGTGTCTTATGTTCTTGTATGGGAATGTTTCCTCTTTTAACATCATCATTTTAATGATTTAAACACAAAATGCCTCTGAAATGTTTGATGAGATAAATCAGTAGTCTGTAATAAATTATATGATAAACTGTAGATTTCATTATTTAAAATGTGCAGAGGAAAAAAAGAACCCACAAATTTAATGCAAGTTTTCTTTAATATTCTGCAAAGTACATAATTTTAAATCCAAAGAAGTCAAGAGAATGAATATAGTAGTACTTTTGATACAGATGTTACTAATGAGAACTGAGCCGTTCGTGGTTACTGTTGTGTTGGTTTTTGTGTCTGAAGAGGAATGAACACTTTGAATAATAGATCTTCAGCATAATTCAGAACTGCAAATTTTTGTCATCTGACTGCAAATATTAGAGCTTGCTGTCTTCAGCTTACTGAAATCTTCTGCAGGTGTGGTTTGGTGACGACCTTCCCTTAAGTCCCCGAAGTCCTTTGACTCCCAGACACGGGCCAGGTTTGGCAGATGTGTGCCTGTATGACCAGTGGATATCTGTGCGGCATGAAGCAACTTTGGTGCCTATGCAAGAAGACCTGTCAATCTGGTTGTCTGGCTTGCTGGGTGAGGTTAAAAATAAATCACTGTCTAATAAATTTCAAAGCACTTTCCAATATTCCAGCCAGTGCTGAAACTTAATATCTATAGTACTATTAAGATCTGGTGTATTTGAGCCTAAATGGCTAGGAGAATTGCGTTAAAGTGCATGCTTTAGTTTTGGATTTTATTAGCAGTCACCTCTTAAAAATAGGATGATTAATCATTCTAACTTATATTTCTGAATCTTGTTAGTCTAAAATCTAAGTGGATGTTTGATATTAGTTTACTTATGTTTCTACTAATTTTCAGTCTTTAACACTGGAGAGAATGCTGTTTGAGTTGCCTCTAGTTTCATATTAAACTTCTTTATCTTCTGCAGAGGAATTCTAATACTGCCTTTCTTCTTTTAGGAATAGAAATCAAAGCAGAACAACTGTTAGAAGAACTTGATAATGGGGTACTACTTTGCCAATTGGTTGGTGTTCTTCAAAACACAATTAAAAAATGTTGTAGCTCAAATAATTTAAGGGTGAGTCATACTGTGATTTATTAGTACATATATAAAGTCTTTAACTGTAAGTAGTAGTAAAAGTGAGCGAGGCTATCCAAAGCGGCATTCTGTGCTGTTTATCCAGAAACTGATTAACTAGTGTGGCATTATAGATGGATAAACTGTCCTCATGTAACAAATGACTCACTTTGTTAATCAAATTCTAATGTCCTTACTAGTTTTTTAGTTTGATTTCTGTAGAATTTTTGCCAGAGGAAGATCTAGTCCACGTCCGGAGTTTGTTCCCATGACAACATCTGTGTGGATTCGTAACAAGATATCCATTGGCACTCGGTGGAATGTTTTATTCCAGAAACTTGTGTCTAAACTCTAGTTAGTCATGAAAATACCCATGTTGAGATGTACCTGGAGATGGGCTTCAGTGTTTTTGTTAGGAACAAAGGCTGAGTTGAAACATGAAGCTCAAGCAACTTGCGGTCTGTGTTTGTACAATGGAAAATAATGATGTGTCACTCTGGAGTATAAAACCATGTAACACAGGTGCATGTAGCATATGTTCAGTGTACAGGTACCCAGTATAGCTACAGCAATGTTTGGATCTGTCAAATAGTATGGTACCAGCTAACGTGCCCTAATTGGGAGTTTTTCCCTTGGGGGCAGGAAGAACTGTTTCACCATATCCAGACCATTTTTTTGTCTCTACTTTTTACTGGTTTATCTCGTAAAACAATAGTTCTAAATAATGGATATTTACCATTAAGTAATATAATAACTAATATTATTACTAACTGGTGGGGGGACGGGGACAGGGCACAAAAGACAGCAGTCTTAGGATGATATTTATACAAGAGCCATATGAATGCTGCATATCCTTGGGGGTTTGTTTGTTTTAAGGAGGACAAGATGTGCAACTTGTATACCTTCAAACTGTTTAGTTTGGAAGATACCAGTTTAAAAACAAATAAGTACTGAATTGTTTTAAAACCCTTTGCTTCCTTTTGATTCCCTCTGCTTTCTAGAATGGGCTCTAAAATGTTGAAATCTGGCAGACAAGTATAGTGTAGTTTATTTGGGGTTATCTCTCTGTGCTTATTCTACTGCTATGAACAGATCTTGGAAGCGGGGAATAACTGTAGACCTGTGAAATCACCACTAAGAATTTTACCCTAGCATATGGGGAAATGGGGAAGCAACTGTATGGGCAGCTTCAGGAAGGTGTGCAGAGCGAAGGATCATTCACTCAGTGACTGTTCACAAAGATAAGGTGGAATGCCATCTACTTTAGCATAGCTTTTTTTGTTAGAATACATGGTGGGTTGAGAACAATATAGTTACTAATCACTGTTTCTGTACTCTGGATTTATGGTTTATTTTCCTTTGCAAATATGCTTTGACATGTGTTGGCAATGTTGACGTGCACAATGTACTACTTGTTTTCTTCCCTTGACAGAATTTTCCTATGAGAAAAGTTCCATGTAAGAAGGATGCTCCATCAGGATCATTTTTTGCCAGAGATAACACAGCCAACTTTCTTAACTGGTGTAGAGCCATTGGAGTTGATGAGACTTACCTCTTTGAATCTGAAGGTTTAGGTAAATCTCTCATTGTTAGATTTGCTTTGATGATCTATATGTGAATAACTACCTAGTCAGAAAGATCTCTTGTGTATTTGAAGCCTTTGTCACAACTGTGCCTGTCTCATGCAAGCTATTAATTTTTTATTTTAAGGCAGCGTTCAAGTAAAAACTTTGCAAAATTGGTTCAGTAACTGCCCAAACTTGCATGTTACTTTTCCAAACTTCTAAAAGTTGCCATGTGGGATGAATGGGGGAGTGACAGCTGTGCAAAAAACTCTCGATGTTTTCCTTCAGTAAAAAGGCCACTGAGAAACAGAGGAGAAAATTGTGGTCTTGCTTTCCCTGTGTGGGAAGACCTCAGGGCCATGGAGTCAACTCACAGTAAGATCCTTTATTTGGTGTTAGAGCTCATTCTTGTTGCAGAAAGTCCTCAGAATAATGCATTCATGATTGCTAAATTTGGTAACTACATCAGGCAGTTGTGCCTGAAGTGACAAGAGTCTGTTGGTAAACGTTTACTTCAGGACCTATTTGACAGGATTCTAAACCCATTTTCCCATTTAATAAGATAGCTATAAAAATAAATATTGCCAACTGTGTGTATGCCTGCCCCAGTGCACACTGTCCCTTATAACAAACAGCTTCTAGACTGATCCTTCCAGATGGAATAAATTTTTTTTGACTTCTAATTAAGAGGAACTGTGCTTTTATCACATGGTAAATAATGAAATGCTCTTCTACCAGCTATTATGTCAGTAAAAAATAATATAAACTTTTCTGTAGCAAGCCAAATACCATTATCTTAATTTTTTTTTTTTTTTTTTTAAAGGGCAAAATATCAGCCTGTCAGCAGAATAGGAAAAAATTTTGAAGTACCTTTTGTTTTCAGTAATCAAATGAATTTTTCACAATATCTACTAATTTTTCTTGAAGTCTTTGTGCCATTTGATGCTATTTAAATGGGAGGCACTGTTTTCATTAACTGCTTTTCTTTCAAGCTGTCCTCCCTGCTAGTTGGACTGCCTATGCCTTCAATACTGGATAAGTCATCTTTTAAAATAGTTGAGAAAGCATCTTAATTTGCATCTGTTTCATTCTCATTTAACTAGTGAGTGTTTCTTTTTTCAGTGCCACGAAATACAGATGAGTAGGAGAACTAAGCTATAAGAAAATTAGTTTTAATATTTTTTTCAGTTCAACTTGTATGAATTGCATTGCTTAAACATCTTAGTTCCTGTAAGTGGATGGGTAACTAGAACCTGTTTAGCCTCCCTGAGATAAGCAGACAGGATTTTCTAATGCTGTGGCTTTTGCTCATAGCTGAGAAGTGTTTTGAAGTCTGATTGTAACTCTTGACACAAGCATGCTTTCCGACATAAATAGCTTCTGTGAGCCTTCTTGGCAGTCGAAATGAGCAGACTTGCAGCCGCTGTGATGAAACATTCTTTCCACTGATGTTCTCCATCAAACTTCCAAGCCATTCTTTATGAATGAAATAGGGGAAAGACAATTTCATTATTGTCTTTTTCCCATCAGATACATATAGCAAGACTTCCTGAAAAGTGTGAATGGCTGTGAAGTGGCTCGTGAGACAGCTGAGAGTAGCCATTGTTGGATGCCCTTTGACATCAAGCCAAAACAAATGTCTTCATCTCTGCTAGGGGGGTATATTTGGATTTTTCTCTTCTAGATTGAAGAAAATGATACCACTTCTGTTACAGCTGACAAAAACACCAAAAAAAAAAAGAGATTCAAATGACCTCTAGTACGTTTTAGATTATGGCTCTCTCAACTTTCTATTCTAGATTTACCCATCATAATTTGATCTTTTTTAAAAGTAGACTTACAAACTGGAGTAGATGACGTAAACAAGAACATCTGACTTCATACTCAACTTATACTTTAGGAAACACTTCAGTCTTATTTAAAGCAAAGTCATTTAAAATGTCAGATTGAACATCAGAAAGATGTTAGATTTTATCTGTAACTATAAAGCTGTCTCATTAGCTTTCTCTTCAGAGTGAATTTCCAGTTTCTACTAAATATTGTTACTGCACAGTGTGAAGAAAATCAGACTTGTTCATATAAATGTTACACCAGATGAGAATTGTATATATAGCTTTTCCCATTTCTTATGCTTGATGGTGGAGAAAGAGAGGTGCCATGTGTGTGGGTTGAGGGGTGTTGAGTGACCTTTCTCCCAGACTTTGGTTTCAGAGTTATTAGACAGTATTCCTCGTAGTAAAGTCCCTAGTACTCTCCTATGGTTGTTCACCTATAGATTGTGTGTGCCTATCTGTCTGTATGCACAAACATGAACAGATGGAGTATATTTTCCTGTTTGCAGTTGTTGAATGCTCTTCATTTTTAAGACTGCAATCATGTATTTGGGGATAGGGGAGGGAAAGCTCTGGGATCAGTTTCTTTCCAATTCATATCAAGAAGGAACAGCTTAAAACCAAGTAAAGCATATTTCTGTTAGGGGATAGAGAAGAGTTTGGTTTCAGGAGTGCCAGGATGGGTTTAAACATCTTATGGAATAGAAAATTAGAGTTGGAAAGCATATAGACCTTTATCCATGATAATGTAGCTTGTGTCTGGGTAGAATGATGGCAAAGTTAGTCATCTGTTCCTTATCCTGCCTTCCTCTGTACCTAATTGCACAGGCCTCATCACAGTAAATGAGCTGTAACTCCCTTTTTTTCTACTCCCTTTTAGTTTTGCACAAGGATCCAAGACAAGTGTATCTTTGTCTGTTGGAAATTGGGCGCATTGTATCCAGGTATGTGATCCATGCATGTTCCGAACAAGAAGCTGAAGAACACATTCTATTAAGTAAAATCTAAGACAAAGTTAAGACAACCTGTGGTCATTAAGTGCAATGCAATATACGTTAATTCTGTGCAGGAAGTAATGAGTAGCTTTTCTAGGATCATTGTACAAGATTAGTATTTTTTCAAGTATTTATCAAACTCTTCATGGAGAGGTGCTGATCCACACTATCTTTTTTATAGCTGTAATTTGAAATGCTACGTTCATCTTACAGATATGTATACATCTTGGAAGAACTCCCTGAATATTAAGTACCATTCTAAGGTCTTTATTTTTTTTAAGCTTTTTGGTAGGTATCTCCTTATTATTCTCTAAATTTAGAATTTATATTTATTTTTAGTGCAGAGCTGGTAGATTTAAGATAGTTCATCTAAATAGGATGCAATCTAAATTGTGTAGTTTTGGCAGTATTTTTACTGCCTTCTCTGGTAGCTCCAAGACCACCTGAGGAAGGGCTTCCATTAGAAAATTAGAGGTGCTCCTTCTCTTTGGATTATGAAGGCAGTTATTCCTCTGACTGATATAGTACTGTGTTCTCAGTCAAGCCGCTCAATTTTGTATGTCTGTTATCATCAGTTTCTTTTTTCTTTTCTTTACTAAATTAGGAATTAAACTCCTCTACTTTTGTATTTAAGGTATGGAGTTGAACCTCCTGTACTAATAAAATTAGAGAAGGAAATTGAACTAGAAGAAACGCTGCTAATGACCTCTGGACCACCATCACCTATTAGCACAACAAAGTCATGTTGTCACCATGGGGAGCTACATGAGGCAGTAAGTACTACTTATTTATTGTGATATGGGCTTTAAATCAAATTCTTTAAATCTAGTACTTGTATGATCTGACTCAGTAAGCATAGGCTGTTTTTCATCTAATATTTGTGAGCCTCCTTAAATAGAAAACAGAAGGGTATGCACCTCTTGAAGAACTTTGAAGAACTTTTTTTTTTTTTTAATGTAAGCTAAATGCTGTCCTATACGTTTTGGAGTTAATGCCTTGGTGCATATAACTTGCCTTGATTTCCCACATCACCCCTTTCATTGCTTCTTTGAGTATAAGAAATACATTCATTCAATTTTTCTGATGTGTCAATATTCTATGACAGTACCATATGCTTCTCTTCAAATTGATGTTAAAGTAGGCTTTGATGAAACTCTTTTGAAAAAGACTTTAAATAAAAACCTCTGTAGCTGTACCAATTGGAAATGAATATATATGCAGAAAAGGAAATGATTTGTCCATCTCATTCATCATTCCTTTCAGACCAATTCACAACTTTCCTATTTTGCTTAGAAATGCATGTTGAGACTTCAAAATTCGTTTATTTTAAAGCTCTTCTGTGTTGCAGTGTAAAAGTTCTGCTTCTTTGGGGATGTCAGCCACCAGATCCCTGCTCCCTCTGAAAACTCACTATTTCTCCTGCTTGGCAATAGTCTTGCCCTTCCGATTTGTTAAGTTTCTAAGTGACTGCAAGAGCCACATCTTTTCTAACCATGGACTTAATTAGGGACTACCTTCCTCCTTTTTTTTTTTCCAGTGGTTTCCTTCTTGTGTGTCACATAGAAGATAAACTTATAAAAGCCTTACAAAAAGTTAGGGAGAAGGCTGAAGTAGCCCTGGGCCAGGTGTAGCAATGAATTTGGTCACAGGAGAGACCCAGGCATTTGTTTCAATTTATAGAGAACATAGCAGTGTCTTCACAAGGCTGTAGTTGGAATTGATGCTGCTATGCATAGTGGTATAGACAAATCTTTAAAATTAAAGTAGAGATAACTTAAAATTGAACAAATCATGAAAATTGGATTGGAACAACTCAAAATATTTGCCTGTACATACGGTTTGTTCTTTCTTTTGATCTTTTGTTATACGTTTTGAAGCTCTATGTAGCTGAGATTTTCCTGTGATGGAATAGAATGCTAGTGTTTTCTTAGATTATGGGATAAAAATAGGAGTATCTTTTCTTGTATTAAATCTCTCAGTAAACTGTTAAACACATACTTGTGTCAAAATACTAACAAATGCTTTCAATTTCAATAACTAGGTTAAACATATAGCAGAAGATCCTCCCTGCAGTTGTTCTCATCGGTTTTCAATTGAATACTTATCAGAGGGACGTTATAGATTAGGAGATAAAATACTCTTCATACGAGTAAGTAGTTTCTCAGAATTCTAATTTATATTCATAATGGGGAGAGATGCTTTTTAACTGGAATACCTAATTTTTATGGTAGTGTTTGAGAATTACAGAATGATTTAGGTTGGGACACCACATCATCCAATCTCCTATTCAAAGTAAGTGTAGCTACTTAGCTCATACAACCATTGATTTTACAACTGCACTAAACTGAGTTAATGCACTTCTGTGCTGTTCCTAAAATTTCAGTAACCACCTGCAATACAAATAAGGATAATGCTATAGCATATCCTGAGAACGCTGCTTGTTCAAAATCTGGACACTTGGGTTTATAATTTGCAGGATAGTTGAGCACTCTCTTCAGCAGACATAAGAGTTTGTGTTATGAGGACGTCCATAATTTGAACAAAACTGGTATCCAAACCTCTGTATACTAAATAAAGATGCTGACAGAATGGTTAAAATGTCTTCTGTATATATGCTTTCATTATTTCCCTGCACATAATGACTGTGTCTGCAAGAGAATCTCTCATAAAAGAATTGGGAAGCATAAACCTTATTTATTACATAGTGCCACTTCTTTTAAAAAAATGTTTCTCTCTAAGAAAGGAGGTCCTATTTTTAGTCAATTTCAACAGAAGTTAATGTAAGACGAAAACAGTGCTGCATAAAACAAGATAGAAATTTCTTCTGTCCTTCTCATGCTCCCACCCCCTGCTCTTCCATTCTCAGATGCTTCATGGCAAGCACGTGATGGTACGTGTTGGTGGAGGCTGGGACACTCTTCAAGGTTTTCTGCTTAAATATGATCCATGCCGAGTGCTTCAGTTTGCAACTCTGGAACAAAAAATCCTGGCGTTTCAGAAAGGGGTCACCAGTGACAGTGTCCCCAACTCATCAGCTGGAATTCAGGAGCCTCCTGTTATGAATCCAATGTCAGCTGTTGACATGTTTCAAAAGCAGCCATCAAAACCACTTATTCCTGTTTCAATTGTCGGTGCCACTGCCAAGAAGGCTTTATCTAAACGTCCTCAGTCCCCTGCCCTGGCATCACCAAAAGTGCCAGTATCCCCGTTCCCTACAGCAAAGTCACTGCCACTCAGGTCCAAATTACAAGGGTCTTCAATGACAGGCATGCAGTCTCCTTTCAAACCATTAGCTAGCTCCTCAAAGAAACTGGAGTCTTCTGCACACACATCACCGGCTTCTGCTCCTTCGCAGCCTGTCAGCAAAAGCTCTTCATCTACAGGAACAAGAAGGGCTCTTGTTCACTCCGAAACATTACGCAAACGTATTCGGTCCCCTGATGCTCCCAAGGTGAAATTTGCCCTGCCTCAGGGCTCCCTGGCACCAGCGCTGCATCCTGCCCTCTCGTCCTCTAAACAACAGCCGTCTCGCTTGCCTGGGACAGCTGAAACACAGGTGGCTTCAAACCAGAAGTGTGTCCCTGCTAAATGCAAACCTGTATCTGTCACTAAAACCAAAGCAAATTCAGTTGCTCCGAGGGCTGCTCGGACACCTGTTACAAATCTGCGTGCTGTTGCCAAGTTTGCGCATTCTCAGCAGCACCTTGCAAAACCTCTCCCTGGAAATGCTATTCAGACATCAGGAACTGGGTCTCAGCATCCTCCGAAAGCTTCACAAACAGCTTCTGACCTGGCAAGGAATCTGAAAAGTGCTTCAGTCCTAAAACACTCTGCTTCTGTACCTTCCCTTGCAGTTAGCAAAGCATCAAAGTCATCATCTACACTGGTATCTACAAGCAAAAATCTATCATCAGCTGTCAATAAGCAGCCAAATGTCAGTAAACCCCCTCAGGTTGGACCCACTTCATCCAAACCTCCTGAACGCACTCCCTTATCTGTTGTACGGCTTCCTCAAACTTCAGCTAAAGCGGCAATGACCAAAAAGCCAGCACAGCTTTCCACAAAAAGTCAGCCTTCAACCAAAAACTTGCAAGCAAATGAAAGCTTGGCCCCAGCAGCCAAGAAGCCTCTCCCTAAGGGAAAATCAGCAACAGCATGTAACAAAGGAACACCTAGTGTTTCAAAAAGTCCTCTTATGAAAAGCAGGCAAGATGATCACTATTTTGTTATGACAGGGAGTAAAAAACCCAGAAAGTAAACTTACTTGTTACTTTCTGTGGAAGTCTTAACTTTGTACAAATGGGCCTCTTATATCTGCTACGTTGAGAACAAGGAAAAAAGTTAAATAACACTACATTTACCGTGAAATATTAGGTATAACCTACATTTTGCTGCATAACTTACAGTAACAAATGTATTTATTTTGCGGTTCAGAAACTTCTATTTGGATATATTTAGAAGTGAGCTTGCTTGCTATGTAGAACCATGGAATATCCCTGTTTGCTGCTAGCCTGACCTGCTGTGGGGAAGGCGGGAGAGAGGAAAGGGGAGCTAGGGCTGCTGCTCTTGCTGCTGCTTGTTTTCGAGGGAGTAAAGCCTGCCCAAGAAACATCTACCCAGGGCAGATCCTGAGTGATTCTGGTGCTTCTGGCACATCTGCATTGAGGCCTGTGGCAAGTGATAGAACTGTGCACAAGCTGTAAAATTTCTAATACCTCAAACAAAACTATGTTTTTCGTAGTTCACTAGTGTCCCAGAACCCAAATTTGGGTCACATGCATGTATGAGAAAGAAATGTCTAGTCATGTTTAGATTTGACAGCTACTGTTACGTGTTCACTGTGCCCCCCATATGCCTTAAAGTGGCTTCAGCTCACTTGGAAGTGGAGTGTTCTTGATTTGTGTTAAGTTGGACATGGAAAATCATGGCCTTGATCTCTTGCTCTCGTTGTGCCTTAGCCTCTCAAATTCATAACAGATCTCTTCAGTGAGCAATGCTACTTTTGAAACCCTGGGCAGATAATCATGCTTTGTTCATGTTCAAATCTGTCAGTAAGCGAGCCTAGTCTTTTCTAGAAAGCTCTTGCTGCATGGAGTGAAGCTCCTGAGTTGCTGTGAGGATGCTTTTCCCTGGGATGGAGCCCCAGAGCAGCTCCTGTGCCAGCAACGCAGAGCTGCGAGTACTGACCTGCACTGGCAGAGACTTACTGCTCTGCAGGAGTGGCCTTTATATGTAACACTGAATTGCTAAATACTTCTCTCAGTGCTAGTGGTTAATTTTCGTGAGCAGCCTTAGCAGTGGCATTTTTTGTTTTATTTATGGAGACCTTCTTGCTGGCTCTCCTGTATTACTTTCTGGAGGTGAGTAGTAGTTTCCCAAAGATGTAACGAGGGACTGCATTTGCTTTAAACATCTGAAAGTGCTAGAAAGGTATGCGCTGTTTATGCTCTCAACTCCTGAAGGCTTTCAGTGGGTTAAGCATCTGTGGTACCCAACACCTTTATGCTTGACAAAAGTGAGTTTCATGATAGATTAATAAAAACTAATGTCTTTGGGCATTGGCATTGTTTGGGTTATTTGGGGTTTAATGAAAGGTTGTTCCTATAAACACAGGAGCTCTCAAGATCTGAGAAGGGACACTGCTGACTTCTACAGACTGTCACTTCTACTCTCCATTCCCAGGATATTTACTTATGGGCAGGAGAAGACATGCATGGAAACTGCAGTTTCTGAAGTTGCATATTTAATATATATTTCTTCCCCTGGAGCTAGAGTAAGCAAGCATCATAAACTGAGTTCTCATGTGCAGTGGCGAAGTCATTGAGCTGCCTTTCTGAGCACCTTGTTAGCTTTTTTATTTATGATTCTATTTATGCATATCTACTGTATAGTACTGCTTACAACCTGCTGGGAGTAAACAGTAAATATCAATATCCAAACTGTAGGAGCAAAACAGATCAGTTTTAATAACATGGACAGGAGTCCCACAAGCTCATATGCAAAGTTATATCACTGAGGGAAGGCCTGAGGCCTACTTGTTTTATAAATACACTGGTCAAAGGCACTGCTACAAATGTTAAGAATAGTGTTGACTGTAGGGGACCGCTTTCGGGTTTGATAAATATGGCACACAGTTTCATATACTGAAAGCATATTACAGTAGATGACTTGATTTTGATTTTGGGCTTCCAAAGAGCGAGTTACGATGAAGTGTATCTCATGCATGTTAATAGGTGAATTCTTGGAGTTTCTTTCTGTACAGGGTCTGGCTGAGATGGAGTTAACTTTCTTCATAGCAGCCCTTATGGTGCCATGTTTCAGATTTGTGACTAAAATAGTGTTGATAACACACCAATATTTTGGCTGTTGGAGAACAGTCTTTGCACACGGTCAAGGTTTTCTCTTTTTCCTGCTCTGCCCTTACAGCAAGTAGGCTGAGGGTGGGCAAGAGACTGGGAGGGACATAGCCTTGACAGCCAATCTGAACTGGTCAAAGAGCTATTCCGTACTGTATCTCATCACCCTCAGCAATAAAAATGGGGTAGAGGAAGAAGGTGTGTGTAGGGGAGTTGGCTTCCAAGGTGGCCATTGTTTGCAGACTGGCTAGGAATTGATCTGCCTGCGGGAAGTAGTGAGTGACTGCCTTGCATCACCCGGTGGTTTGGTTTTTTTCCTCTTTCCTTCAGTTATTAAACTGTCTTTATCTCAGCCTGAGTTTTCTTGCTTTTGCTGCTCTTCTGTTCCTCATCTTGCTGGGGATGGATGGAAGAGTGAGTGAATGAGCAGCTGTGTGGGGTGCTTGGCTGCTGGCTGGGGTCAACCCACAACACCTCTTGAACTGTTTACAAGGGTTTTAGTAGTAATTTAAACACAGAGACTCTGGGATCTCATTGTAAAGCTATCTCAACATCTACCTTTTTGAACTATAACTTCAGAGAAAATGAAGCAGATGACTTCATCTTTGTGATCCATTATCTCATGTACTAGACTAAATTTTATGGTTCAAAATGAAATAAAAATCATAAGCTTTTACAGTCAAAACCTTAATCAGCTAATCTAAAGATGGTTCACCTGTTACATGTGGGAAGGTTTGGTTTTATTACAAATATAGTGTATTTGAGCATGGTCCAACTTCTGTAAATATTGCAGTCTCCAGCTTTATAGTCATGCTGACTACAGGTGTCATGTAACTTGAGGTGAGTCAAGAATAAGATGTAACAAAATACCTCCTAATGGAAATAAATATTCTTTTTGCAATATTTACACTGCCAAATAGCAAGTCTAATATTTAGCTTGTACTACTTTTTGTGAGGGAAAGGTAACTTGAAGCAAGAATCTGACTGAATTCTCCATGTGTTATTGATGTCCTTCTGTATGAGTACTTATTTTAAATAAACACATAATGCACCTTTTTTACATGCACTTTTTTTCTACTGTCATCTTTTTGTGGGGAGGGAAGGAGAATGTATTTCAGAAGGCTTATGTTCTTGTTCTACCACCACATAAATTATAGTATATATTATAGACGTAAATAGCTGCTTCTAATCTATTCCTTTGGAGTGCAAAACCTCTTTACTCTGATCCTCATTTCAGTATGACTAAATGAGTATAAGAGACTTCTTACTTTTTCCTAGCTGATGATGTGCCTGAGTACATTCAGATATACCTCCGAGAGTTTTATTCTCTGCAGCTCTACTTGAAATATAAAACACTTCTGTGCCAATATTTTCCATGCTTAAGTCCTGTCAGCAAACTTTAGACCTATCTCTGTGCCTGTTACCATCAATAACAAACTTAATTGGTTTTACTGAAAGGAGAACTGGGTTTTCTCCCTGGAGCCACCTAATTACCTTTTATCTCCTTATTTGTTTATAAAAAAAATGTTTTAATACCTGCAGTTCTTTGCCTTTTCCAAAGTGGCTTCAGTTCCTTCCTGTCTGATGCTGGTGCCTAATCATACAGATACACTTATCCTTCCACTTCAGCTTTGTCTAGTAAGTGCAGTCTTACAGCACCTACCATACTCGTTCCTACAGGACCAAGCTCTGTGGAGATGTTAGTTACGTCTTGCTTTTAAGAGACGGTGGCATTACAGCTGGCTAATAAAGCACAAAGACAGCCTAAGACTCTCTCAGGTAAGTATCCTAATCATCAGACTACAATGTCATGACTCCTTGTCCCAGGGAATCTTAAATCACTTACTGTCCACCAGTAAAGCTCTACAAGGAGATGGAAAATGCTGCTTCCTCCTACTCCAACACTGCCTTCATTGCTGGTAGGTATTACGCATTCTGGTGAAATTGCATGTTTCAGTCTGAATGAGGATAAAGTGAGGTCTTCTTCCTGGGTTAGCTTTCAAGCCTTTAGACCTTAATAGAAAAGATGGGATCTTTCACACTTTTTACGGGTAGGTATACAGGGTTGGTATTTACTTTCTTTTAAAAAATGGTCTTATTTCTAATATCCACAGTTCAAAGCCATTCCTCTATGTCAGTGGAGACGCATTCCTGAAGTCTTAAGCTCTTGCTTCTCAAACCACTGAAGAGTGTAATGTTGGTCAAAGTGTAGCTAGCAGTATTTGTTACTGTACTAAAACTTGAGTAGATCTAAACATACTCACACTAAAAATTCCTATCTAGTCACCTCAGTCTAGTTCTTTCAGCTGTGTAGGTCCCTCATCTGAACCAGTAGAATAGCTTTCTTTGTTGTCATTGCTGTCAAAGTCCTTTGGTAGCCAATGGTCTGTCACCCATTACAAATGTATGAACAGGATCAAGTACCCTAAGGGCATTCCAAAGCCATGCTGAAGCATGCAAAAGAGTTTGTGTGAACCTACACGTGAATCTTTCTGGTTGTGGGGTGTTTTGTTTGTTTTTTTTACCAAAGCCCAACATATTTTCACCTACATGGTAAAATCTGGCTGTGCTACTCATGGGTGTTTTACTTCTAACAGACAAAGCCAACTGATTCAGAACAAAATGAGCAAAAGGAAAGGGCCAGTAGGAAGATGCCTTGAGATGGTTAATATGTACCTCACTTAGGACTGACAGTAAAAAGCTCAGGAAACAACTGGAAAGTTGCTTAAAACTGTAGCAGCCTTAGATTTTGTGTGGCTGATACAAGGGCCCTCCAGAACTGGGCTGCTCTGTGACACCTCAAAACTTCATTCTACTTTCTGTCCCAGTATCTGACATAAAAGAAACTCCCCAAAATGAGCACCATATATCTAGTAACATATAGAAAACTGCTGAGTTTGGATTGGTGAAGTACTCATGCATGTATGCAATTTGAAGACCTTCATTTATGGCTCAGCAATTTCATATATATGTATCTATGCACACACACATATATAAATTTGATAAAATCCAAGACCGTTTTCCTTCTAGAACTTCAAGCAGCCATAGCTTCAAATATCAAACTTTACAGCTCTTTCTCTACAAGGAAACTAAAATCTGTTTGTGAAAGGTGAGTGTGCTATGAGGCCATCTGGTGTTTCTTAATTTAATAGGGGCTACTCTGGCAATGCAAGACCTTTAACTCTTCTTCAAATCCACAGGCTAAACCTTTTTCTTTGATTCAAATTAAACCTTTTAGCTAACAATATCCAGACATGGCAGGCAATAAATAATGCAAGAGATGTTTAATTTTGTAAGACCCTTTCATTTCATGCAAATACATTTTTGAAAACCTCCTTGTCATTATTTTCTTTTTTCAAGAGCCAAGATTAATGCTCATGTCCTTACTAAAAGTTTTGAAAAATAAATTGTGTGAAATGTAAACAAGATCAACACTTTTATACATTTCAAACATCTTACAAAAAAGTAAACCATTAATATATTTGAGAGGTGAGATCTGCTCACAGTACAGATCTAGCCAGCCAGTAATCCCCATTAACTCAGAAATGAACTTTCAGGTGTGTTACCGATTGCGAATGCCAGCAGAGGATGGCTTTCTAGTTGTGGAGAGGAACTGATGTCTAAATCAATGCTTTTAGGACACTTCTTGCAAAGTATTGGGTTCCAGATGGAAGAAAAACCTTACAGGATGGGAGCAGCTGGCCATTTCTCTAAGGAATATAGCTAGGCAGAAAATATTGACAGATTAGTTGTGCTAAGAGTTTTTAGGAGGTAGGATTGCAGCATAGAACTTAGATATCAAATTGGTCTTTAGTGCTGAGTCAGAAAGTATCATACAAAGCTGAGAGCCTACAAAACAAAGCCAAACTCGCATGTTTCCTCAAAAAAAGACCATGTTTGGATATTCATGCAGGAAAAGTAGCATGCATTAATGTTTGTCAAATTACTCAGACATGGCACCTCATAAGAATCATATTAAAATCAGTTATATGCATATTTACAGTCTGAAAGCACATGCTTTATCTCTTGCATTTGAAAGTAAGTTATTGTTGAAATTCAGGTTTAGAATCATGTAATTTGCTGATCTTTTATATAAGCATTATAATTTTTTACTTTTCTGAAGCGAGGCTGCTGTAACAGAGAGTTCCTTGTACTGGAACCTATATTCCCAGAAGAACATAAATAATTACCATGGTGTGTCATTCTGATGAACGGTATGCTTCTTCCCAGCTCTTTTTTTTTTTTTGCTGAGTATAGTATTCTGTAGACACCTCTGAAACAAGACCATAATAAATTACCTTTTACTGTGTACACTGACCCTTGCAGTACCTTGAAGATATTTATTGCTGCATCCAAAGAAAAGAGCAGCAGAATTAGTTTATTTAAAAATCAAACTAAATATGAATGCTTTGGGTCTGTAGTCCTGGAATTAGGCTCCTGTACATTACAACTGGGAGATTTTTGTGAATACTCAGTTGTATGGTATGGATTTTAATATATCCTCAGCTATAGTAGGATATTCAGCTATGCCAAATTATTTACAAATATATACATGAAGAAGGATTTATGCTATCCAGTGATCTATATGAAAATGGTCATAGGGACATCTATGCTAGATTATGCCTGGTTTGGACTGTAAAGAACATTGGGAAGTTTTTTTGTGATTTCCTGCTTAAGAACCCCCTGGTTTCCTCTAAGACCCGAGTTCTCAAGTCACAGTCCGTTTACATCAGAATGTAAAAGTAACACGTTAGGACTGTGAAGTCAAACATTCACAGTTTAGAAAATGTTATAATTCAGTTGGTCAGTGCAACTTTCACTTGCATGCATGAAAGCATACATTCTGACATACACTTTCATTATAATTTATGCTCTTTTTTTTTTTTTTTTTTCATGAGGATGCTGTTTCACTCAGCATGTAGAAGAAACGGTTCTGACTGCATGAGTGATTCTTCTGTATTTGGGATTCTCCATGTACTTCAGCACGTGCATCAAATTTACCAAATTCTCTACCCTGTGCTGCAGACAGTGATTGAGTGTCGTATGAGTCCTTCCAGGACCTCACTGACAGAACCTGAGTATTTCTTAAGGTGTAAAGCTGAACGGGCTTATCTCCTTAAATAGAAAGAAAATCAAGGCTGAAAGTCACTGAGATTAAAGCATCCACTCAGCTGAGTTAGTTAACTTGAGTTGTCTTGCACTTCACCATTCAAAGTAATTAGTGGGATACAGGACTAAATAACTTAAAAACTTCAGGTGACTTTACTTACAGCTGGGAGAGTTTATCAGCATTGCAATTTTGACTAATGGACTTAAGTCAGACACTTGTGAAAAGGTGAGCTTAACTTACTTGCCTGGTATCATTCAGGGAGTGAGAGAGAAAGAAAAGACTATATAAATCTTGTTCCTAGCAGCTGAAATTAGTTGCCTGAAGCAAGAGATGAGAGAATTGTCCAGCTTTCCTATATTGCCTAAGTGTGTTTGTTCATCCCCATCTATCAAGCCCATGGAAGCAGAACCAGTCTTCAGGAAGTTACAGCCCATCTCATCTTAAATGCCTGTAAGAGATCTGAGTTCAGGAGCTACAACCAATTCTAGCCAATTTAATTTTCTAAACTTACAATGTCTGGCTCCTCAACATTATTTATATTTATTTTTTGATGTGGTTTTGTATGTTGCTCTGTAGAATGAAACCTGAAGTATCTCTCTGTTCCACAAGCTTTGGATCACACTGTGTCTTTGGGCTAGGTGATTGTTGTAGGTCCCTTCCAGCTTAGCTATTCTACTCTATATGTCACTGCTGCAAGTGTTCCTGTTTAAGCAAAACTAGGTGCATATGTTTGTGAAAGATTAAGCTAGATTCAGAAAGGGTTTCAGTTACTCAGAGGGGTTTGGCCTATAAGGGGACAGTACAGTCCCTGTGCCAAAGGTGAAAGAAAGGAAATAATTAAGGAAGAGTAACTGCATACAACATACAGCTGATGTTTTATTATTTACATTTTTGGATTATTTATCTTCTTAGCCAGTCATTATCAGCTTAGTCAACAAACTTTTTGTGAACATTCT